TGGTCCATAAGAAGTTTAAGTAAGTTAAATGCAAGATTTTCACAATCAGGATGTATCGTGGTAAAAGAAAAGACAGAAGCTCCCTTTTTCCATTCAGTCAAGGATTCCAGCTGCACATTCATTTAACTCTACATACCTCTTCTTGTTTTGAGAAAAAGTTTTTTTTAAAAAAACCCAACTCCAGTAAAAAGGTCTTACAAATAATGGGACATAAAATACATAACGGTACAAAAACAGCAGTATTATAATCAAGAAAAATAAGTACAGGTAGTCCTTGACTTACAGCCATTCGTTTAGTGACCATTCAGAGTTACAACACATGGAAAAAATAGGACACGACCATATGAGCAGCATCCCCATGCTCTCAAAATTCGGGAGCTTGGCAACTGGCATGTAGTTATGACGATTGCATTGTCCGGGGATCATGTGATCACCATTTGTGATCTTCCCAGCTAAGTTCGGACAAGCAAAGTCAATGGGGGAAGCCAGATTCACTTAATGACTGCATGACTCGCTTAACAACTTCAGCAATGAACTTGACAACTGTGCCAAAAAAAAGATCGCAACATTAGGCCTAATTCGCTTAACAACTGTCTTGCTTAGCAACAGAAATGTTGGGGCTCAATTGTGGTCATAAGTCGAGGATTATCTGTAGCCTGAGGTTCAGAAGAACACCGTATCTTGTTTCACACAGTGGGCTTAAAAAGCACACCATGATCAGACCTAGGGAGCACATCCCCTAGTTCAGGGGTGAGCAACCTTGGCTCTTTTATGACTTGTGGACTTCAACTCCCAGAATCCCTGAGCCAGCATGGCTCAGCTTGGAAACCTCTCCCTTTCCCCTCAGCATGGCTGGCTCAGGAATTCTGGGAGTTGAAGTCCACCAGTCATAAAAGAGCCAAGGTTGCCTACCCCTGAACTAGTTATATTGGACTCCTTGGTGACACCTCCAAGAAATATAGAAGTTGTCAAATATCAGCCTCTCTTGGGTTTTTCTTTTTTAACTTCCCAGTTAAAGTCCAGCCCTGCAATTTCCTAGTGGTCTCTCCCCTATCCAAATTCTGACCAAGCCCCACTTAGCTTCCAGAGTCAGCCAAATTGCCACCACCTGTTATGAGATGGTTAAGCCTAGTGCAGTGGTGGCGAACCAATGGCACGTGTGCCAGAGAGGGCACTCAGAGCCCTCTCTGTGGGCACATACGCCATCGCCCCAGCCCCACTTCCCCATGGCCCCCTCCTTATCAGCAGTCCCCCGGAGAAGAGTTGTCCCCAGGCGCGGCCCACGTGGAGCAGCATAGCCAAGGACATGGTAGCCGGGCAGCGGGGACAAGATGATGCTGCGGAGTGTGGGTGGAGGGCGTGGCTGCCAATGACACTGCTGGGCCCCCTGGGTGATCTGTGGCAGGCCATGGAGGCAATGTGTGGCCTGGTGGGCAGGCAGGGCGGTGGCAATTTTGGGGCACTCAGTCTCTAAAAGGTTCGCCAGCACTGGCCCAGTATTACATCTAAACTTAAGCCAGGAATTAAAACCAGTGGAGGAGAGGAGAGCTATTTGAAGCCAAAGCCTGGTATGATATTTGCCTGCCATGAATCCAGTGGGGCAAACCTAATGAGAGGGAAAGTCCATGGAGATGCTCAGTCATCCAGGCCACGGTTGTCCCAAAGGAGCTTTTTCAAGAGGCAACTGGACTTCCTTTGTTTTTCCTTGAAGATGTTTCGAACTGAAGAAGCTTCTTGGGTGAGAAGCGAAACTAAAATCCAGCTGCCTCTTGAAGAAGCATTTTTGGGATAATCGAACAGCCATTTGTCCAAAATGATATAGGGTTACCTGCCTGAACCTTTTGTGAGTACTCTCACAAGATGTCTACGGAGGGGGAACGTGGTCAACCACAAGGCATCCCTTATCCCTCCTGGAATCCAGACTACATTCCACTACAGTTTTGTCATTTTGGGGGGGGGGGGGTCACTGTGGTTAGTAGATCCCTAAGATACTTGACTGGATTCACCATGAGCAAGCAGACTATTTAGTACTTGAGTACATTACAGGTAGTCTTCAACTTACCACAACTGAGCCCAAAATTTTCTTGCCACATTTGTTAAGTAAATCACTGCAGTTATTAAATTGGTAACATGCGCTTGTTCAGCGCATCTGGTCTCCCCATTGACTTTGCTTCTCAGAAGGTGATCACGTGAACTCGGGACACTAGCAACCATCATAAATGTGAATCAGTTGCCAAGCATCCTGCCTGAGCAGGGGGTTGGACTTGAGGACCTCCAAGGTCCCTTCCAACTTTATTGATTATTATGATTATTATGATTATCATCTGTCGCTTAAGGATGACCCTGTGGCCTGCTTAATTTGGGTTACTGAGTAAGCCATAAATGATTGGGCCTGCAGACAGAACTAGTCCTTGATCTACGACTGACCACTTAGCACCCATTCAAAGTTACGACCTCTGAGAAAAAAAAGGGAGTTAGGGTGCTCGGCAACAGGGCCACACTTAACAACAGTTTTGAGGGAAGTTACTTCCCGTTTTCGGCAAAACCACTGCCATAGGGAATAAATGGGTTTGCTTAATGCCCATTGAGTGACTGCGGTGTTTGTTTTATGACTGCTGTGTTCTCTTAATGACCACTGCGAAAAAAAAGTCGTAAAATCGGAGTGGTCATCTGATCAACCTATTTTACAACAGTCACGCTATATGACCGCAACGGGCAGGCTCCATTATGGTTGTGTGTCGAAGACAGCATATTGTGTGGAGCAGATCAATAGTTCAGCTATGAATTGATGGTCTGAGTAACGTCACACTCTGGGGAAGGAGGAGTTTTTTGTATGGGATGCCCTGCCCCTTTTCAATAGATAGGACAAGAAGCAACAGATGGAAACTAATCAAGGAGAGAACCAACCTAGAAATAAGGAGAAATTTCCTGACAGTGGGTGCTCCCTCACTGGAGGCTTTTAAGAAGAGATTGGACAGCCATTCATCTGGAATGGTACAGGGTTTCCTGCCTGAGCAGGGAGTTGGACTAGAAGACCTCCAAGGCCACGGTCATCAAAAAGGTTGGAGATACTTATATTAATAATAGCAGTAGCACTTAGGCTTACATACCGCTTCACAGTGCTTTACAGCCCTCTGTTTACAGCAGGGGTTCTGAACCTTGGCAACTTTAAGACTTGTGGACTTCAACTCCCAGAATTCCTCAGCCAGCTTTGCTGGCTGAGGAATTCTGGGAGTTGAAGTCCACAAGTCTTAAAGTTGCCAAGGTTCAGAACCCCTGGTTTACAGACTCAGCATATTACCCCCAATAATCTGGGTCCTCATTTTACCGACTTCGGAAGGATGGAAGGCTGAGTCAACCTTGAGGTGGTCAGGATCGAACTGCTAGCAGCCGGCAGAAGTAGCCTGCAGTGCTGCATTCTAACCGTTTCGCCACCATGGATTAGACACCAATAATGCCACCTAATTCTATACAATTAGACAAAATCTCAGAAAAGAGAGACACGACAGACGCCACAAACTGGATAATTCATTTTTATTATTAAATATACCCTTGGCACAGATCTTTATAATTTTTTCACTATAAACATCTATATAAAACAAAGTGTCATTGGCCAGATAAAAAGCCACAATGCAGACAAGCTCCTGTCAGCTGAGGCCATTGTGTTTCACATTTTGTACAAATGCGTCTTGCCTTAGCCGCGCCTTTGTCCCCGAGGCTGGAGTAGCTCTCCAAAGTCACCCTTTGTAATACTTGGCTGTGCAATAGTGCCAAATACTTTAGTGGCTAGCTCACTTTCCTTCAAAACACTGCTTATGGGCCTGCAACTCTCTCTGGGAAACATGTTGTGGCTTTGCAATCATATACTCTGTTTGCACAAAGCAATGAGAAACAGCCCTGCCTGGAATACATTGCAGATTTTCTACATCAAGGGTGGTTTCCCCAAATAATCCTTATAAGGGTAAAAAGGTACAAACTTCTGCAAGGAAAGGGATCCTGTTTCCCCACTGGTTTACTTGTCACAAAATAGTTCCCCTTGTCCTACAAGAGCACCCCTGTTGTGCTTGGAGATTCCCACAGCACCTTCTAAAGAAGGGGTCTTCATACTTGGCCCTTTTATGATTTGTGGGCTTCCACTCCCAGAATTCCTCAGCTAGGCATGCTGGCTGAAGAATTCTGGGAGTTGAAGTCCACAAGTCATAAAAGGGCCAAGTCTGAAGAGCCCTGTTTTAAAGGCACATTCAAATACAGCAAAGACACCAGTCAGCCATATCACCTGTTACCCTGGAAAAACAGCACTGAGCGTTCGCTAAAAATCACCTTGTTCAGCACAGGAAAGTTGGCAGCAACAGGAAAAGTGCTGTTTAGGACAGCCGGTTTGTATTGACCTTTTTTCAAATTATTATTAGACCAAAGAAAACCTTGGCTAGGTTCCAAGTAGGGAAGGCAAACCTGTCCTTGAACTATTAGTCTAGAGCAGGGGTAGGCAACCTTGGCTTTTATGACTCGTGGACTTCAACTCCCAGAATTCCTGAGCCAGCCATGCTGAGGGAAAAGGGAGGTGTTTCCAAGCTGAGCCATGCTGGCTCAAGAATTCTGGGAGTTGAAGTCCACGAGTCATAAAAGAGCCAAGGTTGCCTACCCCTGGTCTAGACTCTAGAGTGTTTTGGCAATTTTAAGATGTGTGGACTCCAGCATGCCGGCTGGAGAATTCTGGGAGTTGAGGTCCACACATTTTCAAGTTGCCAGGTTTGAAAAACACTACTCTGGAGCAGGGGTCTTCAAACTTGCCCCTTTTATGACTTGTGGACTTCGACTCCCAGAATCCTCAGCCAGGCACGCTGGCTGAGGAATTCTGGGAGCCGAAATCCACAAGTCATAAAAGGGCCAAGTTTGAAGACCCCTGCTCTAGACCAAGGGTCTCCAAAGTTGGCAACTTTAAGACTTGTGGACTTCAACTCCTAGAATTCTCCAGCCGGCATAAGGAATTCTGGGAGTTGAAGTCCACAAGTCTTAAAGTTGCCAACTTTGGAGACTCCTGGTCTAGACTCTCTACCTTAGGAATGTGCAGTTGGGAGAAAAAGACCCTGCTGAGCTTGCCTTGGTGAGATTCTCCAGCTGACTTAATACTGGGGAACAGGAGGGAGGCCCACATTAGCTGCCCACAAAGAGGTTACTAATCCCTATTATAGCAGGCTTCCCCAGCTAAATATCCAATTCGCCCCAATGAATTTGATTTGATTACAATGACCAGGGGATGATTTGTGAGTGTCTAACATTTCTGGACAAAAGGCTCTATGCAAGACCATAAGGTAAGTGGTACAGTGTTAATTATATAAAGCAGTTTAAAAAACAAAAACACAAGCTAGATTGGCAACCAAGCTTAAGAAGTGGAAAGGGGGGGGGGAAATCTAAAAATTTCTAAAATCGGAAGAAAAGCCTTCTAAGAGCTGAGTTATATTCATAAATCTCAATTTGAGACATTTTTCACATTTACTGATTTGTGATTTGACTTGTGCATGTTGGCGGCTAAGCCTTGAGGCCACTCATGTATCTTCCTTCACAGTCAACGTGTTCTGTGCGCACAACAGCTACACTTCACATTCTGGATTCTGCCTCTTAAAAAATATGGTATCTGGGGGTGGGTGCTTACGGCATCTCAAATGCAGAAAAAGCTTTACAACGACAAAAGCTTCTGTTAGTTTCTGAGCCCCTTTGCAGAAACCATTTTGATTAGCGCTGTTGCAAAAGAATCAACAGGTTGTAGAATTTTTAGGATCATGCAAAGAACAATTAGGATGCTGGGTGTGAAGAGGCATAGTGCATGCAGATCACCACAAAATATTTTGTGGCCAACAAAATGTCAGTTTCCAGCCTCTTGTACAAAATGTGGGGAAGGATCCATGTCAGTTCACAATCGTGTGTCTTTTAGCCTTACCACAGACCCATAATACCTATTGCTGTAACATACACCATTCCAACTTTCTTCCTTAGCAGGGATGGGGAACTATGACCCTTTTATAACTTGTGGACTTCAACTCCCAGAATTCCTGAGCCAATGGCCAGGAATTCAGGGAGTTGAAGTCCACAAATCATAAAAGGGCCATTGTTCCTCACCCCTGCTTTAGTCCGAAGGGAAAGGCTTAAGAATTGTATCAGGGTATAATCTGTTGCTATTTCCCCCCCAAGTGGCATTAAAGTTGAATGAAGCAGAAAACAGGCAGGAGAAAAAAATAGCAGAACCGATGCAGCAAAAAGCTATCCAAAGAGACCCAAACGCAGCAAATATATAAGCTGCCACAAGAAGTTTGCTCAGCGTGGCACGACGGTATTCTCCACTCTGACAAGCAGCAGCAAATGAAAGGAGAAAGGGAAGATAAGTAGTGGGATTATACTATTTGGGAAGGAGGCTACACCACGAGGTTGCTGGTTTGGCCAACAGGTTGTGTTTTCTCCCATTTCAAGCGAGCAGGATCTTAAAAATGCACAAAGCAGGGAGGGCCCAGAGAAAAAGAGCCAGAGGCTCTTCATTCAATCTGAGAACCCAACCCAAGTTAACGTTAACTAGGAAGAGGAGATTCTCAGGAGCTCATAATATCCCTTCAAGTTCCTACCATCCAACCAAACACTTATGACATCCATTCTCTACTTTTCCCTACTGTGGAAGTAATAATAATACTGAAGAAATGAAACAGATAGCTTATCGCGCGTCTTCAAACTTGGCCCTTTTGTGACTTGTGGACTTCAACTCCCAGAATTCCTCAGGCAGGCACACTGGTGGAGGAATTCTGGGAGTTGAAGTCCACAAGTCACAAAAGGGCCAATTTTGAAGACCCCCTGGCCTATCAAGACAGCAAGCGTTTCCAGTTAACACTGCGCACTGGTAATGTTTTCCCCAGAGTGACCCATCTCCAATGGAAAGCAAAACCTATCTGGTAAGTTGTTGCTTTTTTATTTCTTTGAAAAACAAAAAAAAAACAAAACACAAAATCCTTTATTTAAAAATGCTGCTCTGGAAAATGACAACCTGAACAACTATTGATTTAAGATTGAGTTCCCCAGCTAAGGATCTCCCTGGTTTCCAGCAACAAAAATGCCAGAGGAAGTGTCCGTCTTTTTTTTTTTTTAGTCAACTCTATGGAAAAATATTCCCACCCCAATCTGGCACTGCCCTTCCAAGAGGTAATGAATGATATGTGAGGAGAGTTGTGGACAAATTTAAAAAAAATAAAAGGGGAGTGGGGAAGAGTTGGGGGCAAAAAAAGGTTGACACAGATAAAACCACATCAGCTGCTGCCTCCTGTGATGAGGCTCGCAGTGAACGAGTCCCCCGTTTCTCCCCCATTTGGAAAATTCAGGGGGTGTGTAGATCACGTCATAAAAACAGTGAAAATCCTGCACTGATTTCTACTATTATTTCTTCGCACATTCATTATCTGGAAACCAGAGAGGAGATGGCCACAGTTTAGAGGAATCTGTGTGTCTGAAACAGACTTCTCCGAGGTCATTCAGATCTACCGTGAGAATCTCAACTGGGATCAGGGAAAGGGGGTTAAAAAAGGAGGATTGTCCATCCTCGTCTGTCAGCACTGGTGCCACCGTGGTGGCCACTCCCTCTCCACAAGGAACCGGGGCGGCGGTTTGGCGTTACCTCTGCACATTCATACTGCGCTCCCATTTACGGAGGAGAATCTGCATGAGATCAAAGGTGGTGAAGCTGATGCCTACGGCAATGGGACCCTTGACCCAGTTCATGCTCAGCCCTTTGTACAAGCCTCGGATGAGTCCCTCTTCCCGAATGATGTCCCTCATGGTGAGGAAGATAGACCCGTAGAAGTAGCCCAGCGCTCCTGCGGTCTGCATCCGTCGACGGACCACATCCAGAGGGTAAGAGGCCGACTGCCCAATCAGGCCTGCACAAGCCCCAAACACAAGCCTTTCCACGGGATAGGGCTCTCTCCCCCCGCTGTGATCTGGAGAGGAAAAAGAAAAGGAGACCCTGTAGAGATGCTTAGAAATACAACAGATTTCGGTCTGTCGTTATTTATTTATTTATATCTCACCTTTGTTATTTTTAACAATAATTCAGGGTGACGAATATAGCCAATTCACCCACATCCTCGTAATTTCTCCTGTGAGGTTGGTTGGCCTGAGAGGGAGGGGACTGGCCCAAATCACCCAACTGGCTTTCACGCCTCAGGCGACACTAGAACTCACAGACTCCTGGGGATTGGCCCAAAATCAGCCAAGTGGCTTACATGCCTCAGACGACACTAGAACTTACAGTCTCCTGGTGATTGGCCCAAAGTCACCTAGCTAGCTTTTGTGCCTAAAGCAGGACTAGAACTCAGAGTTTCCTGGTTTCCAAAGTAGATGTCAAGACTGCTAACACTGGATGTTCTTGCTTGCCATATATGAAGAAGCAAACCTGTTTTATTTAGCCCACAGGTCGGCAACCTGCAGCTCCGGAGCCGCATGCGGCTCTTTGAGCCTTCCCCGGTGGCTCCCAGCCTCCTCTGCCTTTGCAGAGAGAGACAGAGACAGAGAGAGGCAATTGCGCTTCCCTGCTTTTCTCTCTCTCTCTCTCTCTCTCTCTCTGCGTGTGTGTGTGTGTGTGTGTGTGTGTGTGTGTGTGTGTGTGTGTGTAAAACAGTGACTCACAGTGTTCTCCGAGGAGCTGAAAAGCTTTCTGGGCGGAGCTCCTCCCTTTGCTGCGTCTCTGCAGGAAGCAGGAAGCAGGAAGGGCAGGAGAGAGCTAGCTAGCCCAGCTAGGCTGACTCAGGAATTCTGGGAGTTGAAGTCCATGAGTCATTTAAGAGACGAGGTTGCCGACCCCTGAGCTTGTTGGACAACAGCTTGAAGCTTGCCAGGTGAGCAGCAGATAGGAGAGGGGGGGAGAAAGAGAGAGAGAGAAAGAGAGAGAGGGAGGGAGAGAGAGAGAGAGAGAGAGAGAGAGGAAAGAGAGAGAGAGAAAGAAAGAGAGCGGGAGAAGAGGAGTGGCAAGCAGACCAAGGGCAGATAGAGAGGGAGGGAGAGAGAGAGAGACAGAGAGAGAGAGAGAGAGAGAGACCCTTTTGACATCTAAAATGAAGATAACACTGCATATATCCTTTTTTTACCTGTATGTGTATGTACGTGTATATATGTGTGTGTGTGTGTATACATACATACATATACACACACACATATATACACACACACAAACACACACACACAAACACACACACACCTATAATAAAGGTAAAAAAGGATATATGCAGTGTTATCTTCATTTTAGATATCAAAAGGGTTTTGCGGCTTCCGGTGTTTTGTTTTTGGTGGGAAACGGGTCCAAGTGGCTCTTTGAGTGTTTTGGGTTGCCTACCCCTGATTTAGCCTGTATAGCACTTCTAGAGTTAAAGCAGATAATACTAGCCTAGTGGGTGGGAAAATATGCTAGCTAACCATAACAATATCTGAGCACAGTATTGCCAAGGTCAGCTGTAAGGGGAGGGGCACTTCACACTTCACATTAATTGGAGAATGTGATTGATGACTGTAAAATGAAGGAGTGAGTTTGCTTTGTCACGGGTGATTGGGGGAGGGAGGATTCAGTTTTTGGCTTAAAGTTGTATGTGCCGAAGCTATGCAGAAATAAAAGGATTCTTTAAGGTAAATAAGCCTCAAAGTTCTTTGAAAAGCTGCTTCTTTTCGGAACCATGACATAGCTCTTTATCCTGGAGAGGCACATTCTAAAGACTCCTTGAGGCCAGGACTGAGCTTAAGAGCCAAGATATCATAGAGAAGAACTGGGGAAAAGAGAAGAAAATATCTACTTAAACTTTCTCTCTTCACAATACAAGTTTTTCATGTAGACCAGTAAGGATCCAGTATATGGTTAAGCATATCGAACAGGGACTAGGAAATGCCAGTTCAGCCACAGCATTCACTGGGCCACTTAATCTTCCATTTGAATCAACCAGGCTGCTTGCCCCAAGCTCCCTGAAGGACACATGGGGACTGAAAATAAATAATAAAACAGTGGCAAATAAGTGAGGCATAGGGATTGCTGCAAATAATTCAGGTGAAGGTTTAGCTTTCTCTATTATAGAATCCTGCAGGAGTGACCTGATAGATGCATTAGAGTCTATCTCAGGGTAGGCAACCTTGGCTCTTTTATGACTCGTGGACTTCAATTCCCAGAATTCCTAAGCCAGCCATGCTGAGGGGAAAGGGAGAGTTTCCAAGCTGAGCCATGCTGCCTCAGGAATTCTGGGAGTTGAAGTCCATGAGTCATAAAAGAGCCAAGGTTGCCTACCCCTGGACTCTTTCTAGTCCAGTGATGGCAAACCTTTTAGAGACCGAGTGCCCAAACTGCAACCCAAAACCCACTTATGTATCGTTGGGTGCTGTGTGGGTATGCCTACTTGGCGAGCGCAGCTACAGTGGGCTTGGCAGACTGGGTGGGTTTGGCCACTGGATGGGTGTAGCTGCAGTAGTCATGGCAGATTGGGTGGGCATGGCCGGGGTGGGTGTAGCCACCTTGATGTTGCTTATGGGGAGGGACATCTGTGGGATCCGGGCAGGATTGGGAGAGATCCAGGGGGTCTCTGGCGGGTGGGATGGTGGGCTCCCCAATGGCGGCTCCAGACTGGCTGGCCTTAGGCCAGTGATGGTGAACTTTTAGAGATATGCTGGGGCAATGGCACGTGCCCACAGAGAGGGCTCTGTGTGCCGCTTCTGGCATGCGTGCCATAGGTTTGCCATTACTGATCTAGTCCAACTCCTCCTTAGAGGAGAGCCATTATAGCAGTGGATCTCAAACTCAGCAACTTTAAGATGTGTGGACTTTTGACTCCCAAAATTCCCCAGCCATCATGCTACAGTAAGCAGCTTCTGACCAGTAACCACAAGCTCTGCTGAAAACACAGGCAAACAAGAGATGATGATGATGATGATTAATATACAAGATGGTTCCACTGCTTTGCAAATCTTGTTGGGAATGTCTTCCTATCTTCAATGTGAACCTCCTTTCTTTTAATCTGAATTCTTCGATCTCCATCCTTATCCTTCCCTTACTTTTGACACAGGACAAATCTACCTCCTCATGTGACAGCCTGTAAGATACTTCCAGACTACTACTGTATTTCCCTCATTTTCTCTTTTACAACTAAAGCTAAACATTTCATTTACCTGTTCCTTACAGCAGGGCTTTTCAACGGGTGGTACGCGTACCACTTGTGGTACATTAATGAGTGGCAGGTGGTACGCAGCCCTGCCCAGCCAAGTGTAGTGGGGGAGGGAAAGAGCCAGCACAGGCAAGGACTTACAGTGAGAGAGTTCTCTGGAGCTGCAAAGGCCCCAGGCTCACTTCTGGCTCTGAGAAAGGAGGAGGGGAGGTGGAGACAGGAAAGCCTATATAATGAGGCAGTTTGGGCAGGAGAGGGAGAGAGATAAAAAAGCAACAGCCTTGGGAGGAGGCAGAGTCAGCTGCACCGAAGGGGAAGAAGAAAAAGAAGGAGGGGGAGGGTGGGGGGAGAGGAGATCAAGCAGGCTGGCCATGAGCCGATCTACAACTGCTGTGGCAGCCACTTGTGCTGGCAGCAGTAAACAGGCAAGAGGAATGAAAAAAGGCAGCAATGGCTGGAGGTGAGGCACGGAGGGAAGGAGATGGGGATTGGAAGGATTCTTATGTGCTTTTGTGACTTTGAAGTTCTGGGATTTGTGTAATGAGGGCTTTGTGTTCTTAAGGAGTGTTTGGCAATTTCTATTTGGCTGATGGTGTTAGCTTCTATTGCTCTGCTGCTGTTAGCTGTAAGTTTTGCTGCAAGGGATTTTGAAGTATTTTTCTCCTGAATGGATTTTGCCTGTAGCATTCCTTTACTTAGGAATGGAACCATTTGGGGAGGTTGCCTTAGCCAGCAGCCAGTACTTACATTTTTTTTGTCTTCCTTAAGTGCCAGCTGCGTTCCTTACTTTCCTTTCTAGCCAGTAGCTAATTCTTAAAGGGGAATGTGCCCTTTTAAGCTAGTTCACTCAGCAGCTTGTCTTTTCTGTCTCTGGAGGCCTTTCCTTGTTTAATCAATATACGGAAGAGGGAAAATATGGGGGGGGGGTTCAAATTCTTCCTTCAGAAGGAGATGGGAATGAGAAAAAGGGAGGCAGGGAAGGGAGGGAGGGAAGGAAGTCCCGCCTTAGCACTTGGCCACCAGCAGCTCTGCCATTGACTTTGCTTGTCAAAAGGTTGCAGAAGGGGATCACATGAACACTGGAACACTGTGACAATTATTTATTTATTTATGAGACTTATATACCGCTTTAAGTGCAAGCACTCTCTAAGCGGTGTACACCAGTAAGCAATGTATATATATATTTACATTGCCCCCCAACAATCTGGGTCCTCATTTTACCTACCCCGGAAGGATGGAAGGCTGAGTCAACCTTGAGCCAGTGAGATTTGAACCGCTGACCTGCTGAACACAGTCAGCTAAAGTGGCCTGCAGTACTGCACTCTAACTGCTGCGCCACCTCGGCTCTTATAAATATGAATCAGTTGCCAAGCATCCAAATATAAATCACATGACTTTGAGCATGCTGCAATGGTCATAAGTGTGAAAAATGGTCATAAATCATTTCAGTGCAATTGCAACTTTGAACAGATTTTTATTTTGGTCATCAAGATTTTGACACTTTCCTAGGTGGTACTCGAATATTGCCATATCCTAAAAGTGGTACAATCGGTAAAAAGGTTGAAAAGCCCTGCCTTACAGGACTTTGATAACAAAGTTTCACCCTGATTGGCTCCTTCCGATTCCCTTTCACACAACTCCATGTCTGTGGGTTTGGCCTCATCCCATTTAAAATTAGAAGTCAGCTCACATCTAACCATAAGAAACCCTTAAAGTTAATAATTTTGGTCCAGAATCGGTTGCTTGTCAGTTTTGCCAGACCATCTGAAATTTTAACATTGTGCCTGATGAGAAAATATTTCCCAAGAAAGTTTGCATTCCCACAACAGATATATCACAAACTCCCCAGCCTCACTGTTGTGATCACCGAGCAGTTTTTTTAAAAATAATATTTTTTTAAAAATGCACATAAAAACAGTACAAACCGTGTACAAATAACGCTCAACTTATGACTATTGGAACCAGAATTCCTGTGGCTAGACAGTGAGTCATGCTCAATTTTACAAGGTTTTTTTTTTGCCATGATTGTTAAGCGAATCAATGCAATGTTAAGTATAGCATGCAGTGTGGTTAAACAAATCTGGCTTCTCCCATTGACTCTGCTTGTCGGAAGCTGGCTGGGAAGGTCACAAATGGCATCACATGACCCAGGATGCTGCAACCACTGTAAATGCATGCCAGTTGCCAAGTGCCTGAGTTTTGATGCGCTGATGATCATAAGTGCAAGGATCAGTTGTAGGTCATTTTTTTTTCAGCGCTGTCGTTAAATTTGAATGGTCCCTAAACAAATGGTTGCAAGGTAAGGGCCACCTGCATATAATTCCTATCAGCTGGATTGTCCTTACCTGCGTGCAGCTTCTTCAGTGTCTCATAAGTGAAAAAGCTCAATCCAGCATAAGGGATCACCCCCAAAATGGTAGGGGAGAAGCCCCTGTACAGGGTCTTTAATCCTTCCTCGTGAGATATCCGCATAAATACATGAATTATGTTGCTGTACCTGCCAAGGAAAAATGAAATAGGCTACATTGTGGACTAGAATCCTGACAACATCAGACAAAAGTTAGAAAGAAGTTTGAAGGGTGAAAGTCCGAAGAATCTACGCCTATCCCAGTTGCAAGGGACGTGCTCTTATTTTAGGGAATCTCCCACAGGTGGGGAACTTAATGTGTTGTTGGCAGGCTGGCCATATTGGTCATCTTTGTTTATATTAGCGTAAGCTGAACCTTTTGTGAGTACTCTCACAAGATGTCTATGGAGGGGGAATGTGGTCAACCACAAGGCATCCCTTATCCCTCCCTCCTGGAATCCAGACTACATTCCACTACAGTTTTGTCATATATATATTTTTGTCACTGTGGTTAGTAGATCCCTAAGATACTTGACTGGATTCACCAAGTGAACTATGAGCAAGCAGACTATTTAGTACTTGAGTACATTACAGGTAGTCTTCAACTTACCACAACGGAGCCCAAAATTTTCTTGCCACATTTGTTAAGTAAATCACTGCAGTTATTAAATTGGTAACATGCGCTTGTTCAGGGCATCTGGTCTCCTCATTGACTTTGCTTGTCAGAAGGTCGCAAAAGGTGATCACGTGAACCCGGGACACTAGCAACCATCATAAATGTGAATCAGTTGCCAAGCATCCTGCCTGAGCAGGGGGTTGGACTAGATGACCTCCAAAGTCCCTTCCAGCTTTTTTTAATTATTATTATTATTATCGATCATTGCACAGTCAGCCAGATGCTCAGACTGGATTTGGCATTTTTGTCTACCTATCGAGTCCTTACCAAGGACCTGGGATAGGCAGATATGGATGTTTGATGTTATTACAGGTATCGTCGCAGGATGGAAGCAGTTCCTAATAAGGCCGCCTTTTGCAATTGACTAATAGCGAATTTGTCAATGCCAATTGTGTTCAAGTGGTGCTCCAGTTGTTTTGGGATTGCACCCAAGGAGCCTATGACTATTAGTACTACCCTTGCTTGCTTTTGCCACAGTCTTTCTATTTCTATTTGTAGGTCTTTGTATTTTGTTATCTTCTCCAGTTCTTTCTTGTCTATTCTGCTGTCTCCAGGCACTGCCACGTCTACTATTACTATTATTATTATTATTATCCGAATGTGAATCACATGACCCCGGGAATGCTGCAATGGTCATAAGTGTGAAAAATGGTCATGTCATTTTTTTCAGTGCAGTTATAACTTCAAACAGTCACTAAGGGAACTGTTGTAAGTTGAGGACTACCTGTATTGAACCAATCACTGTCCTGGAGTAGAAGAAAACCTTGTAGAAGAAATTTATTTCTTTTTGGCAAATCTTTTTTTTTTTTTTTTTTTTTGCTTGGAACATGAGAAAAGCAACAATCTTCCCTTAGATGAGCATTTATGCTTCAACCTTTCATTATACGTTATTCACTGTTGTAAAATGAATCTGGCTTCCCCAATAACTTTGATTATCAGAAGGTCACAAAAGGGGGTCACGCGACCAAAGGATGCTGAAACGGTCATAAATACAAGCCAGTTGCCAAGAGTCTGACTTTCGATCACGTAACCCTGCGGATGCTGCAATGGTCGTAAGTGTGAGAAACAGTCATAAGTCACTTTTTTCAGGGCCACTGTAACTTCAAATGGTCACTAAAGGAACTGGGGTAAGTCAAGGACTATCTGTATAGGTCAGGGGTCTTCAGACTTGGCAACTTGAAATATAATATAAACCTACTTATCGGGATCCTGTGCTTAAAAGCAACTTGTGAAGAGACTGAACAGACATACCTTGGAGAGTTTCCAAAGAGGATGAGGTTATTCCACAAGGGCTATTAATCACTAAATCTCTGAATTATCAGGCACCGGAAACCATAATCAAAGTACTTGTTCTTCATGCTTTGCTTGTGAACCTCCCGGTTGGATCGGAATGCTGGATGCCATGGCTTAGGGCAGGGGTAGGCAACCTTGGCTCTTTTATGACACGTGGACTTCAACTCCCAGAATTCCTAAGACAGCATGGCTCAGCTTGGAAACCTCTCCGTTTCCCCTCAGCATGGCTGGCTCAGGAATTCTGGGAGCTGAAGTCCACAAGTCTTCAAGTTGCCAAGTCTGAAGACCCTTGGTATAGGTTTTGAGGAACAATAAGAGTGAAAGAATACACCTCATGTCCCTTCTTAAGTACATGAGCATCAAATCTCCAATCGCTTACATTTCCTTCGGCGTCACTGCCATACGGGCACGAACCAGGTCCAGGGGGTATGTCAACATGGCAGCTGTGATCCCTGCCAGAGAGCCTGCGACGAATCTGGGCAGAGGGGTGAGTGCCCTGAAACAAAAGAATATTTTAAAAGGAGAATTTCTTTGGTTGTTGGCTATCCAGACTCTAAACCGACTGGACAAAAAAAAGGTTCCAAACTGAATCAGAATCTGAATAGAGCTGGAAAGGACCTTGGGGGTCTTCTAGTCCAGTGGTTCTCAATCTTTTTAATGCCGCGACCCCCAACCGGTCGTAAGTCGAGGACTACTCAACCGGTCGTAAGTCGAGGACTACTCAACTGGTGCAGCACCGTTTGTAGAATGGGACTTTTGGCGGGCTCAGCAGGGCAGAGACAGCCTGGACCATTCCTATTGGCTTTGGAAAGCCAATAGAATTAGACTCTATTCAAGAGAGTCTATTCTATTGGCTTTCAAAAGCCAATAGAATAAAAGGGAGTAGCACAGCTAAGGAAAAGGGGGAAATAATGGCGGACTGCGTTGTTTGGCGACTCCCGTGAAATGGTCGTTCGACCCCAAATGGGGTCCCGACCCACAGATTGAGAACCACTGTTCTAGTCCAACCCCCTGCTCAAGCAGGAGACTCTATTCCAGTGATGGTGAACCTTTTAGAGACCGAGTGCTCAAACTGCAACCCAAAACACACTTATTTATCGCCGGATGCCAGATGGGCATGGCCCACTGGATGGACGTGGCTGTGGTGGGAATGGCAGATTGGGTGGGTGTGGCCAATGTGGGTGTGATCATCTCTATGTTGCTCGTGAGGAGGGACACCTGTGGGGGCCAGGCAGGGTTGGGGGAGATCCAGGGGGTCTCTGGCAGGTGGGGCGGTGGGCAGGAGGCTCGTCCTGCAGGGCGAGGCAAGGTAAGGTAAGGCAAGGCGAGGGTGTCATTGTCACAGGGAAAGATGAGGCAGGGGACGGGGCGGCTGCTGCCTGACACCATCAGCCCCTGCACACAGAGGCCAGCGAGCGCATGGGCACTGGGATGCATCCGGTCATGTGGGACCGCGGTGAGTTAGCGGGCGGCTGGTTGAAGAGGGACGATTGCCATCTCCGGGGCATGGTGCGCCTGCCCACAGAGAAGGCTCTGAGTGCCGCCTCTGGCACGCGTGCCATAGGTTCGCCACCACTGCCCTGTACCATTTCAGACAAGTGACTGTCCAGTCTCTTCTTAAAAATCTCCAGTGATGAAGCACCCACGTCTGGAGGCAAGCTGTTCCATTGGTTAATTGTCCTCACTGTTAGGAAGTTTCTCCTTAATTCCAGGTTGCTTCTCTCTTTGTTCCATTTCCAACCATTGTTTCTTGTCTTGCCCTCTGATGCTTTGGAAAATAAATTGACCCCCTCAGCCTCTCAAATACTAGAATACTGCCATCATGCCCCCCCTTCTTTTCTCTAGACTGGCTATACCCAATTCCTGTAACCATTCTTCGTATGTTTTAGTCTCCAGGCCTTTAATCATCTTAGTTGTTGAATTTTGCACTTTTTCCAAAGCCTCAACATCTTTTTTGTAGTGTGGTGACCAAAACTGAATGCAGTATTCCAGGTGTGGCCTTACTAAGGCTTTATAAAGCGGTACTAATACTTCGCGTGATCTTGATTCTATGCCTCTGTTTATATAACCAAGTTTTGTATTACTTTTTTAGTGGCTGCTGCATACTGCTGGCTCATGTTTAAGTGATCGTCCACTAGGACTCCAAGGTCCCTCTCACAGTTACTGTTTTTGAGCCAGGTTTCGTCCAATCTGTACTTGTACCTTTGGTTTTTCCTGCCCAGGTGTAAAACCTTGCTTTTCTCCACATTAAATATCATTTTGTTGGACAGGGCCCATTGTTCGAGTCAAGAACAAGATCTTTTTGGAACCTGAGTTTGTCTTCTGGGGTGTTGGCTATTCCTGCCAGTTTAGTGTCATCTGCAAATTTGATGAGTTCCCCTTCTATTCCCTCATCTAAGTCATTTATGAAGATATTGAAGAGTACTGGGCCTAGGACGGAACCTTGTGGTACCCCACTGCTTACTTCTCTCCATGTAGATGTAGTACCATTAAGGACTACTCACTGAGTATGGTTTGTCAGCCAGTTACATTGCTCATTCCAAAACTCTGGCTCTGTTCCCTTGGCACTAAAATACAGCTGACATAAATCAGGCTCAGCAATGAATCAAAATTTATAAATCGCAACGATTGGGGTTTCACGGTTGGAAATGTAAGTCAGAGAGACAAGATTCCGCCATACACCAGAACAGACAACTAGAAGCTTTCACCTGTATTGTCCCAAAGGTGTTTTTTCAAGAGGCATCTGGACTTTTTTGTCTTTCTTTGAAGATGTTTGACTTCTCATCCAGGAAGCTTCTCTTGGATGAGAAGCGAAACGTCTTCAAAGAAAAACAAAGAAAGTCCAGTCGCCTCTTGAAAAAGCACCTTCGGGACAACCGTGGCCTGGATGACTGAGAATCACCCCAGACTTTCACCTGTGTTCTTTGTTCTGATCAACAATAACTGTTGTTTTTGAACTCTATCCTGGTTCCTGACTTCTTGTACCTGACAATATCTTTCCCACGTGCTCAGGCCAAGACCTTTAAGGAGACTGAGGCTCCCTAGCAACTTACTTTCCCTGGTAGCCATAGTAGCTGCCCAAAAGCTGCTTGTACTCCTCGTGTGCACAAAACTGGATGGCAGCGTAGGGGATCACCCGAACCATGGTGGCCGAGTTGCCTCGCCATAGGCTGAAGAAGCCTTCACTGAGGTAGGTACGATAGATCAGCCGGTAGGCCTCCTGGATAGAGAAGGAGCTGGGTCAGGGGTGACACGCTTGAAAAGACAAAGGAGCTGTGAATTTTTAAGAGGGAATTTGGAGAGGAAAGGTTGGGGCAGGGCAAGTAGGACGTAGGGAGTTTTCAGCCAAAAAATGGTTACGATTCACTGGTGTCTCCTCAACATATTCTTCTTGTTGTCCCACCAAACTCCCACAGAATGGGTTGGTTTCTGTCTTTCTTTCACTGATGGCAATATATATGTGAGGTCTCAAGATGCTGCAGAACTGCAACAAGACTGTTGGATCATGATAAGCCCAGAAAAGCAGACGCCAACACTGAGGGACCTTTCAGAAGGAACTTACTCCAGAAAGAATAGAGAAGGAGGAGGAGGAAGGGGGAGGGGGGAGGGGACAGGGGGAGAAGGGAGGAGGGAGGAGGGAGGAGGAGAGAAAGAGGAGGAAGAAGAAGAGGAGGAGGAGGAAGAGGAGGAGGAGGAGGAAGAAGAAGAAGAAGAAGAAGAAGAAGAAGAAGAAGAAGAAGAAGAAGAAGAAGAAGAAGAAGAAGAAGAAGAAGAAGAAGAAGAAGAAGAAGAAGAAGAAGAAGAAGAAGAAGAAGAAGAAGAAGAAGAAGAAGAAGAAGAAGAAGAAGAAGAAGAAGAAGAAGAAGAAGAAGAAGAAGAAGAAGAAGAAGAAGAAGAAGAAGAAGAAGAAGGTCAATCTGGCAATAACTATTTCTTTAAGCCACAGTGGAGAGAGAAAGAGCATGCAAAACAAGATAGAAGAACCCTTTGCCAAAGTCCAGCAGAAACACTGGGAATTTTTGCCCCTAATGACTCCTACGCCCCTCAGATGCTACTTTAGGATAAGTCAATGTCACATCCCACTATCTGCCTCCTTACACAAAGTAAAGCCTACTTTTTCTCTGTGTTGCAGTTAGCAAGCAGCTACACAGTCTCCTTATGAGGGTTGAATTCCTGTTTTAATGTCTATTCTTTCGCTGGAATTTTGCCCCAAGAGTTTACTTCAATTGGCACATACATGTGCCTACCGTTTTATAGTAGTTCTGTTTTGACTAATTTTCACTTAAGAAGCCAGAAGGAGGGGCAGAACAGAGAGGTGTGTTAAGGTGAGACCCACCCATGGGATCAATTCAGTGAGATTTAATCCTTCCCAACTGCTCAACCTGCAAGGAAGCTTAGAAAAGAGAAGGACGTTTCACCTTACCTTAGCAGAAAACCGATTCGACGACACTGAAAACAGAAAAAAAAAAAAGAAGCCATTACGCACGTCAGCCCTGCAACTAAGAAATCTATGGGCAGACTAATCCATGCCACAAACCAGCATCTTTGCACTCAGTCAGACTCTGGTTTGGAACATCCAGACCGCATCCCCAAGGAAGAGAACCATCTCCACTGCCTTTGTGAATTGGCACCTAATATCTCAACAGGTCCACATTAGCCTGGAGACAGGTATGGTATAGGGCAGGGGTAGGCAACCTTGGCTCTTTTATGACTCGTGGACTTCAACTCCCAGAATTCCTGAGCCAGCATGGCTCAGCTTGGAAACCTCTCCCTTTCCCCTCAGCAAGGCTGGCTCAGGAATTCTGGGAGTTGAAGTCCACGAGTCATAAAAGAGCCAAGACTGCCTACCCCTGATATAGACCAGTGTTTCTCAACCTTGAGAACTTTAAGACATGTGGACTTCACTCCCAGAATGCTGGCTGGAGAATTCTGGGAATTGAAGTCCACACATCTTAAAGTTACCAAGGCTGAGAAACATTGGTGTAGTAGGCTGCTACAAGATCCAGTTCTTAGTCCTGTGCTGCTCAACATTTTTATGACAAGCTACGGTGAGAAGATGGAGGAACATGCTTATCAATTTTGTTCTTTAGATGACAGGAGGATTTCAAAACAATCTCTAGTCTACATTAATCAGAATCCCACTTCAAACGGTATGTCCAACTCTGGTTTCCATATTTTAAAGAGGAGTCGGACAACTAGAACAGGTTGAGAGGATAGAAGAGATCAGAAACCAAGTCCTTTACTGTCTTCTGTACCATCCCACAATGCAGGTTAGTGAATAATCGATTTAAGTTATAGAAAAGAAAGTTTTATCTGAATATTAGAAAAAAGAAAAGAAGAAGTGGATCCAAAGGAAACTGTAAATTATAAACTATCACCACATGTCCAAAATAATAAGAAACAACATTATTAGATATGCTCTAAAGCAGGGGAACCAGGCTGTCTCAGGAATTCTGGGAGTTGAAGTCCGCAAGTCATAAAGGGGCCATGGTTCCCCACCTCGGCTCCAAAGCATTTAAATGAGGAATCTAAATGCTTTTAAAGAATATGCTGGCCTTGTTTTCATAAACCATTACACCTTAAATCTTCAGATGCCTGGCTTGTCAAAGGCCTTCTGCAAAGACAGCTGAACAAACTAATTACAAATTAACCAGGATTTTAAAAAAGCACACAGTCTTTCCAAATCCTGGTATTTAGTTTCATTATCAAGCCAGAATGCAAAGGCAGAGAGTCAAATCTGGCTTCTAAGCTGGTTAGATCAGAGGTCCCCAACCTTTTGGGCACCATGGACCGGTTCCGTGGAGAAAGGTTTTTCCATGACTGGAGCATGCGTGGTTTTGTGTGTTGCCTACATCGCGTGGATGGGGCTTTGCTTGTTTGTGCGGACCGGTTGCTGGCATGCCGTGGCCCAGTACCGGTCCATGGACTGGGGTTGGGGACCCCTGGATTACAGTAACGACAAGCCAGGAATAAATGCAATTGTTTGTCCAAACTGGGGGCCGTACAGATCTACAAACTTCAAATCCCAAAATTCCTCAACCCCCCAGGGTTACTACTGAGAATTCTGGGAACTGAAATCCATGTATTTAAATCAATGTTTTTCAAACTTGGCAACTTTAAGATATGTGGACCTCAACTCCCAGCATTCCCCAGCCAGCATGATGGGTAGGGAATTCTGGAAGTTGAAGTCCACACATCGTAAAGTTGTCAAATCTGAAAAACGGATCTAAAAGGAGCCACGATTGCTTCCGCAACTTAGAAAGATAGGAAGATTCCCCCATTTCTCCTCCCTTCTCCCATGTCTACCTTGGAAAATGATTTTTGTCCTGTCCAACGGTGCCACAGCTGTTTTGGCCACAGCGCCAGCCAATGCCCCAGACACCAAGGAGTTGATCACACTTTTTTTCTGTTCAGTACTCTGGAACAGAAAACCAAAACATGTCAGAGATCCAATCATGCAACAGAAAAATAGCAGCTAGGGCTCTCTCTCTCTCTCATAAGAAACAGCAGACTTTTTTTTTAAATGGAAGTAAATGATAAGTTTCTCTTGCTTTAAAGCTGGTAAGAAAAACCTTATACAATATTTTCAAATGGGGATACTTAATCATTTTACATGAGAATTTCTAATGGATTAATGACTTACAATGACACAGGCAAGGCTGGCTTAGCATGCTCAGCCACAAAATGCCTAATCAAGGGTAACCCAAACAAGCTTTGCATATTACAGTGATGGCCAACCTTTTAGAGACCAAGTGCCCCAAAACCGCCCCTGCCCCGCCTGCTCTGCTCTGCCCCCACCCCGCCCCCAGCCCCACCCACCTCCAGGGCCACTCACCACTTCCACAGGCAGCCCAGCAGTGCCATGGTGGCCACGTCCTCCACCTACGCCCCGCAGCATCAACTGCACGTGATGGAGCACGGGGATGGAGTCTTGTCCCCACCTGGCTGCCATGTCCTTGGCTGCGCTGCTCTGAGCGGGCCACGTTCGGGGGTGACTCTCCTCTGGGGGGGGCTGCTGCTGAGGAGCAGGCCACAGGGGGGCGGGGCTGGGGCAATGGCATGCGTGCCCACAGAGAGGGCTCTGAGTGCTGCCTCTGACACTCGTGCCATAGGTTCGCCACCACTGGCCTATTACATGAAAGCACCCAGGAAGTTTTCAACCAACCTTAGTCTGGGTCTTCAGCAGGATTGGGATGCACAACAAAAAAATTCTCAAGGTCATCTGGGGTCTCCAAACTTGGCAACTTTGAGACTTATGGATGTTAGCTCCCAGAATTCCTCAGCCACCCATTCAGGCTGGGGACTTCTGGGAGTTGAAGTCCACAAGTCTCAAAGTTGCCAAGGATAGAGTAAGAATCAGACTTGTACCCACAAGATTCAAATCACAAGAGAGGAACAAGAGGACATACAGGCAGTTCTCGACTTACAACAGTTCATTTAACGACGGCTTGAAGTTACAACAGCACTGAAAAAAGCCACTCGTGACCGTCTTTCATACTTAGGACCAGTGAAGCATCCCCCTGGACACGTGATCAAAATTCAGACGCTTGGCAACTGGTTCATATTTATGACGGTTGCAGTGGCCCGGGGTCGTGTGATCACTTTTTGTAACCTTCCAACAGGCAAAGTCAATGGGGAAGCCAGATTCACTTAACAACTGTATTACTAACTTAACACATACAGGGTTCACTTAACAACTGTGGCAAGAAAGGTCATAAAATGAGGCAAAATTCAGTTAACAAATGTCTTAACTAGCAACAGAAATGGTGGGCTCAACTGTGGTCATAAGTTGAGGACTCCCTATATAGGAACATTGGCTCCTATCTCTTTGTTCAGGAGCCATTTTCTATGCTCCAATTCTGCTTTTGGACATCAACACAATTAATTTCCACAAAGCCTTTTCAGTAACGGCATTGAAACATTTATTTCCCAATGCGTAAATTGCACAAAATGCTTGGTACTTTAATGTATAAACCCTGCCTACAGTTTTAAGGGAGAAATGCTGACTTTTTGTAAACAAAAATATTATTTTGCTGCTACTTTTAAACTTGTTGCTCAGTTTACAGATACTCCTCGACTTAAGATCACATTTGAGCCCAAAATTTATGCTGCTAAGCGGGACACTGGTTAAGTGAGTTTTGCCCCACTTTATGACTTTTCTTATCACAGTTGTTAAGTGAATTGTTGCAGCTGAGAAAAGCAAAGTCTTACATTTAGGCAGGAAAAAATCAAAGACACAAGTACACATTGGGTGAGACCTGGCTCAAAAACAGTAATTGTGAGAGGGACCTTGGAGTCCTAGTGGACGATCACTTAGTAAGGCCACACTTGGAATACTGCAGCCAATTTCAGTCACCATACTGCAAAAAAGGTATTGAGAGTTTGGAAAAAGTTCAGAGAAGAGCAACTAAGATGATCCAAGGCCTGGAGACTAAAACATACAAAGAACGGCTGCAGGGCTTGGGTTTGGCTAGTCTAAAGAAAAGAAGAAATAGGGGAGACATGATAACAGTATTCCAGTATTTGAGGGGCTGCCACAAAGAAGAGGGGGTCACGTTATTCACAAAGCACCAGATTGCAGGACAAGAAACAATGATTGGAAACTGATCGAAGAGAATTAAGGAGAAACTTCCTGACAGTGAGGACAATCAACCAGTGGAACGGCTTGCCCCCAGAAATCGTGGGCGCTCCATCATTGGAGATTTTTAAGAAGAGACTAGACCAGTGGTTCTCAACCTGTGGGTCGGGACCCCATTTGGGATCAAATGACCATTTCACGGGGGTCGCCAAACAACGCAGTCCGCCATTTTTTCCCTTTTTCCTTAGCTGTGCTACTCCCTTTTATTCTATTGGCTTTTGAAAGCCAATAGAATAGACTCTCTTGAATAGAGTCTAATTCTATTGGCTTCAAAAGCCAATAGGAATTGTCCAGGCTGTCTCTGCCCTGCTGAGCCCACCAAAAGTCCCATTCTGCAAACGGTGCTGCACCAGTTGAGTAGTCCTCGACTTACGACCGGTTGAGTAGTCCTCGACTTACGACCGGTTGGGGGTCGCAGCATTAAAAAGGTTGAGAACCACTGGACTAGACAATTACTTGTCTGAGATTGTATAGGTTCTCCTGCTTGAGCAGAAGGCTGGACTAGAAGACCTCCAAAGTCCCTTCCAGCTATATTCCATTCTAAAAAAGAGCTGTTAAGTTAGTAACACAGCCGTTAAGTGAATCTGGCTTCTCCATTGATTTGGCTTGTCGGAAGGTCACAAAAGGAGATCACATGACCCCAGGACATTCCAAATGTCATAAATATGAGTCATTTGCCAAGTGTCTGAATTTTGGTCACATGATCATGGGGATGTTGTAACGGTTGTAAGTGTGAAAAACAGTCTTATGTTTTCAGGGCCGTTGTAACTGTGAACAGTCACTAAATGAATTGTTGTAAGTCGAGGACTACCTGTATGGAGTTGCTTCATGGCCGCTGCAGTTACAGCACAGCCAAGACACAAACTGCCCACCTCTGGAAGGATACGTCCATGGACTCTGATCTCTGCATCTTTCTGTTTCAACCCTACTTGACCTTCCACCGCTCTACCATTATCCATACCAAGCTCGGAAGCTGGCTCGGAAGAGAATTGAGCCTCCTGAGAAGAAGAAAAAGTAGAAGAAGGGGGGAGAGAGACAGAGAGACAGAAAATATTAAAATTAGTTTTTCAAAATATGGAACTTTAAAAAAAATCAATCCAACCGATCGGTTTCAATTGCCCCATTTTTCACTGCCTCCTCTTCCTGCTTATTTGCACTGTTGCTCCCCCCCCCACGTCTCTTTTGGGTTTTTTCTAAAAAAAAAAAAAAGCACCATATTTATTTATTAAATTTGCATAGTGTCCCAAATGCATGTCTGGGTGGGCAACAATTAAAAACAAGAGAAAAACAATACACTAAAACAGCGATGGCGAACCTTTTAGAGACCGAGTGCCCCCAAACTGCCCCGCCCGCCCCCGTTCCACCCCTCACCCCGTACTGCCCCCTACCCTACCCCCACTCCGTCCCCTACCCCACTCGCCCGCAGGGCCACCCACCACCTCCACAGCCCGCTGCAGATTGCCCAGGCGGCCTTGCAGTGCCATGTTGGCCATGCCCTCTGCCTGCGCCCCAATGCATCATCTGCACGCGACGGGGCGCAAGGGTGGAGTCTTGTCCCTGCTGCCTGGCTGCCATGTGCTTGGCTGCGCTGCTCTGCACGGGCCGCGCTCAGGGACAACTCTCCTCCGGGGGGGCTGCAGGTGAGGAGGGGGCTGCAGGGGGGGCTGGGGCGACGGCGTGTGTGCCCAGAGAGAGGGCTCTGAGTGCCACCTCTGGCACACGTGCCATAGGTTCGCCATCACTGCATTAAAACTATACAGGTAGTCCTCAACTTACGACCACCGCTGAGCCCATAACTGCTGTTGCTAAAGTGAGACATTTCTTAAGTGAGTTTTGCCCGTTTTACGACCTTCCTTGCCACCGTTGTTAAGTGAATTGCAGCAGCTGTTAAGTGGGTATATAACTTGGTTGTTAAGTGAATCTGGCCTCCCCACTGATTTTGCTGGTCAGAAGGTCATAAAAGGGGATCGCATGACGCGGGGACACTGCAACCGTCATAAATGCGAGTCAGTTGCCAAACATCTGAATTTTGATCATGTGACCCCTGGGGATGCTGCAACGGTCGTTAAGTGTGAAAAACAATCATAAGTCACTTTTTTCAGTAACTTTGAATGATCACTAAACGAACTGTTTTAAGCTGAGGACTACCTTTAATGTAAATTTAAGGAGAACTTTTTAAGATCTACATCAGTGGTGGCAAACCTATGGCATGAGTGCCAGAGGCAGCACTCAGAGCCCTCTCTGTGGGCACTTGCGCAGTCGCCCCAGTCTCACCCCCCGTGGGCCCCTCCTCACCAGCAGCCCCCCCCCCAGAGCACAGCCCACGCAGGGTAGCACAGCCAAGGACATGGCAGCTGGGCAGCGGGGACAAGACTCCGCCCTTGTGCCCTGTCGCGTGCAGATGCTGCTGCAGGGCACGGGTGGAGGGCCTGGCCACCATGGCGCTACTGGGCCACCTGAGCAATCTGTGGAGGCAGTGGGTGGTCCTGTGGACGGGCGGGGCTGGGGTAGGGTAGGAGCTGGTGGGACGGGGCAGAGCGGGAGTGGAGCGGGGTCAGGCAGGGCCGTTTTTTGGGCACTCGGTCTCTAAAAGGTTTGCCATCACTGATCTACAGGGTTTTCAGAAGAGAGGAGACACACATTAACTTTGAGATCTCCCCTGCCCCATTTATAAGTGTAATCATGGATGCAGTCTAGCACACCATAGGTTATGTAGTTCTTTTCTGACCATCCACTTCTCTACTGCAACTTGTTTTGCAACAAGGAATTTGACTGGAGAATTGTCCCATCCTACCCTTTCCATTCTGTATCCCTTGTTCATTCTGGTTTATTTCTGGCTATGAGGGATTTGGAATGAACAGCTGTCAGATTACAAATGTTCCTTTATGTCTTCATCCATAAAGCAGGGCAAGACAGCATGTCTGGTAAGAAGCTGGTAGGAAATTCAAAGATCAGGAAAAAAAATATAGCTGGAACCAGCTCATGTCTTTCCTGAAAATCTTTCTTTTCCTTCCTTCCTTCCTTCCTTCCTTCCTTCCTTCCTTCCTTCCTTCCTTCCTTCCTTCCTTCCTTCCTTCCTCTTTCTTTCTTTTTATTTAATGTTTTATTGATTTTCTAATTTTACATTTAAGTATTTAAAAAGCATCGTAGCGGCTGAGTTAATTGAAAATTCAGTGACATACAAACATCTTTAGTGCAAGTCTCAAACTACCGCATTAAATATTTCCTCTCTTTTCCCCTTAGTATTTACTGTCTCATATTTAAACTAATACAATTCTTATTACATTTATCAATAATTTTTAGCTTATACATGTCCTGGTTATTTTAACATTCAGTCTTTATAGACAATCAATGTCCTAATTAGTTTTTTCCAATTTTTAATTTCCCATTAATATTTAAATTTAACATTTAATATTTATAATGTCCAGGTTTTAAGTGAGCAAAGTTCCCTTTATCCCAATTCATCACAAAGTCTAATATTCAGGAAACATGTCTTATCTATTTGAATATATTCTATTTCTCACCGTCTTACATCATCTAACTAATAATATAATGTAACGTTCTTATTTTCTATTAATTTCCAAATGTCTTAAATTTAGTAACCACAATTTCCCTTGTTTCAACATCAAATACTTCTCTCTTTTTCTCTTAGTGTCTACTATCTCATATTTAAGCTAGTACAGTTTTTATTATATCAGCTAAATAAAAACATGTTTATTACATTTATCAGTAGATTTTGAGCTTATATATATATATACATTACTTTTACATTCAACCTTTATGGACCAATCAATATTCAAATTTAACTTTTGATATTTATACAAATTTTAAATGGCCAAAGTTTTCTTTATCTCAGTTCATAACAAATCTAGTATTCAGAGTACACATCTTGTCTATATTCTATTTTAATCCTCACTAATGAGTCAAAATCCCAATTTTCTCTCTCTCTCTCTCTCTCTCTCTCTTTCTTATAAAAGGTAGTCTTCAACTTACAACAGTTTGTTTAGTGACCATTCAAAGTTACAACAGCTCTGAAAACCACCGTTGCGTTATCAAAATTTGGACACTTGGCAACTGGTTCATATTTATGACAGTTGCAATGTCCCAGGGTCACGTGATCCCTTTTGTGACCTTCTGACAAGCAAAGTCAATGGGGGAAGCCAGATTTAACCATATTACTAACTTAATAACTGCAGTACTTCATTTAACCATTGTGGAAAGAAAACTCCTAAAACCGGGCAAAATTCATTTAACCTATGTCTCACTTAGCAACAGAAATTTTGGGCTCAATTGTGGTCTTAAGTCAAGGACTGCCTGTGCGAGTAGCCCTCGACTTACAACCACATTTGGGATGGAGATTTCAATTATTAAGTGGTGTGGTCATTAAGCAAATCATCATGTGACTGGGCCCAATCATATGATCATTTTTACTGCAGCGGTTGAGCAAATCACAGTTAAGTGAATCACATGGCTGTTAAGTGAATCCGTCTTCCTCCATTGATTTTGTTCATTGGACACTGGCTAGGAAGATGGAAAACTGCAATCACCTAACCACAGGACACTGCGACAGTCATAATTATGGGTCAGTTGCCACGCCACAACTGAGGAAGATGAGCGGGCAAGAAAAACAAAATATAAATAAATAAAAATAAAAGCGGTCAAATTGCAATCACGTGACCCGGGGGGGGGTTGTGATGTGGCAGTCATAACTGTGAGGATAGGTGGTTGTAAATTAAGGATTATCTGTAAATATCCTAGAGCAGGGGTAGGCAACCTGGGCTCTTTTATGACTCATGGACTTCAACTCCCAGAATTCCTGAGCCAGCCATGCTGAGGGGAAAGGGAGAGGTTTCCAAGCTGAGCCATACTGGCTCAGGAATTCTGGGAGTTGAAGTCCACAAGTCCTAAAAGAGCCCAGGTTGCCTATCCCTGTCCTAGAGTAATACAAGAAGCAATCTTTTCCATGAATACACAGTCATAAATATTACTATGAACTTGAATTCATCTATCAAAGCCACACATTGCTTGTTGATAGAATTCATCTATCAAAGCCACGCATTGATTCAAAGCCATACATTGCTATGTAGTTTGCCAGGCAGGACTGGAAATGAAGGCAAATATACATGTCCCAGGATATGTCTATGGAGATGCTCAGTCATCCAGGTCATGGTTGTCCAAAAGGTGTTTTTTCAGGAGGCAACTGCCTTTCTCTGAAGGGCAATTTCTAACAATTTTTAAGGGATCCACTTATCAAAGAATTCTCTCTGCCCCTAAGGAGCAAAATGCTACAGGTAGTCCTCAACCTATGACTACAATTGGGTCCAAAATTCCCATTGCTAAGCAAGATGGTTGTTAGGTGAATTTTACCTCATGTCATGATGTTTCTTACCACCGTTGCTAAGTGAATCACTGCAGTTGTTAAGTTATGGACACGGTTGTTAAGCGAATCCGGCTTCGCTTGTCAGAAGGTCACAAAAAGGGATCACATAACCCGGGGATACAGCAACGGTCATAAATATGAACCAGCTGCCAAGCATCTGAATGCGGATCACGTGACCCTGGGGATGCTGCCAAGGTCATAAGTGTGAAAAATGTTCATAAGTCACTTTTTTTCAATGCTGTTGTAACTTCGAACAATCACTAAACAAATGGTTGTACGTTGAGGACTGAACCAGGCACTGGAAATGCTACCTGAGCTACGAAAACAAAACCCTTCAAATCAGTCTCTGTCAAGGGAAGAAAAGAAATATGGGTGAGAGTTGAACGCCCTGCAGAAATGAAACACCAGCCTACTGGCTGTTAAATAGTTTGTTGTTAATTTAATTCCCCTGTACTGTGGACTCCATAACACATAGAAAATATGAAGACATTTCTCAAATAATAATTCAATGCATGCAGGAAGTCCTCGATTTACTGTTCATTTAGTGACCGTTCAAAATTACGTTGGACTAAAAGTTGGACTAGAAGATCTCCAAGATCCCTTCCGATTCTGTTATTCTGAGATTGAAAAAAAAATGTCTTGCTGAACAACATAAATTTTATTTATTTATTTATTTATTTTATTGTATTAATAAAATTTATATGCCGCCCAATCCCTAGGGACTCAGGCGGTGTACAAAATTAAAACAATAAATATAACAATAAAAATAAGTGCATTCATACAGCATGTCCCAATCGTATCCCACCCCCCCCCCCCGGGACATCAACCCCAGGCCTGCCGGGCTGGGCTCAAAAGTGATCATAAGAGAGGACTACCTTTGTCATACAATAATAATTCCTTCCTAGCCCAGAACATTCACCTCCCAGTAATTCTAGCTGAAAAAACAAAATCTAAAAGAAAGCATTTGAGTTTAAAAAAAAAAAAAAACATACCTTCCTTGCTTGAATGCAGCTCTTTGTATTGCAAACTTGAGAGATTTTCAACCAACTTCTCCAAAGCTGAACCCCCTCGTAAATCACTCAGCAGTCTGACAAATCAACAAAGCGACTCTTGTTATTTCAAGTTGTGGCAGTCCAAATGAAGATTATAGAAGCTGTTTGTCTATGTCCACCTGTCCCAGTGAGATTAGACAAGTACTCCTGACCTAAAAAAAAAAAAAGTAACCCAAGAAGGCAGCTGCAATTAAAGTTCTCAGGAAGGAGGGGGGGGCTGTTGAAACAGTTGTGTCATGAGCACCTGACAATCGCTGCCTTTAAATTGTATTCTTCTGTTATTCTCTTCATGCACAAACTCTGCAGAATTTGCTTCTATCAGGCAAAATAGGGTTTTCAAATTCAGGTTTTGCACACAAAAACAAGGGGGGGCACAACTTTCTCCCAATACACACATTATTCTGCCCCCAATTAGCATTCTCAGGCTTTCACTTGCTTCCCACATGGTTTGACCCAGTACAGATCGTTTTTAACTTATAACAATTTGCTTAGTGACTGAAGTTACAACAGCAGGGGAAAAAGTGACTTATGACCATTTTTCACACTTATGACCGTTGCAGCGTCCCATGGTCACGTGATTCACGTTTGGACGTGTGACAACTGATTCACATTTATGACGGTTACAGTGTCCCAGGGTCATATGTTTACTTTTTCCAACTTTCTGACAAGCAAAGTCAATGGGGAAGCTAGATTTACTTAATAACCGTGTTACTAATTCAACAACTGCAGTGATTCACTTAACAAATATGGTAAGAAAAGTCATAAAATGAGGCAAAAATCACTTAACAAATTTCTCATTTGGCAACATAAATTTTGGTCTCAGGTGTGGCTGTAAGTTGAGGATTACCTGTAGTTCAGTTTAGGTTTCTCCTGCACGTTTTTTGTTGGAGATAGGCCAGGAAAAAAACACAAAAACTCTGCTGAATCAGATCAAATGTCTGCATAGGCTGCCTTCTTTTTAACAATGGCCAACCACATGCCACAGGGAAGACCATAAGCAGGACAAATACAGGTAGTCCTTGACTTACAATCACAATTGAGCCCAAAATTTCTGTTATTAAATGAGACATTTGTTAAGTGAGCTTTGCCCCACTTTACGACCTTTCTTGCCACAGTTATTAGGTCAGGGGTAGGTAACCTTGGCTCTTTTCGGACTCGTGGACTTCAACTCCCAGAATTCCTGAGCCATCCATGCTGAGGAGAAAGGGAGAGATTTCTATGCTGAGCCATGTTGGCTCAGGAATTCTGGGAGTTGAAGTCCACAAGTCATAAAAGAGCCAAGTTTGCCTGCCCCTGTATTAGGTGAACCACTGCAGTTGTTAAGTTAGTAACATGGTTGTTTATGTGAACCTGGCTTCCCGATTGATTTTGGTTGTCAGAAGGTCGCCAAAGGTGATCACGTGATCCCCCCCCCCCAGGGACATCACAACTGTTATAAATATGAATCAGTTGCCAAGTGCCTGAATTTTGATCACGTGACCATGGGGGAGGCTGCAAAGGTCGTAACTATGAGAAACGGCCATAAGTCTCTTTTTTCAGTGCTGTTGTAACTTTGAATGGTCACTAAATGAACTGTTTTTCAAACTTGGCAACTTTCAGATGTACAGGCATTCCTCAACTTAGAACCACAATTGGAACCGGAATTTCTGTCTTCAGCCAACGTGGTTGTAAGTTGACCAAATCCAATTTTACGACCATTTTAAAGCGAATCACTGCACTTGTTAAGTGAATCATGTGGTTGCTAAGCGAATCCAGCTTCTCCCATAGAGGTATTTTGCAGGAAACTGGCTGGAAAGATGGCCGAGTTGAAGTTCACACATCTTAAAGTTGCCAAGTTTGGACAATAGATGCAATAGATCTTCACTTTGGTTTATAACCAGACAATTTTCAATTCTCATTCCGATTTTTCCAACTTCTATTAGAAACAAGGCCTCAATATGTTTCCTTCTGGAATGTTTCCCTCTGGAAGATGCTGGCACAGAAGTATACTTTTTCAGCCATCCTGATGTTATCAAGTGTTTTATTATACAATGAACAACTTAATATATAACGAATTGGCTATTTCATTCCATTTTGTCAAGCTGCTGTTGAGTTCTGACACTCCTGTAATTCCCTTCCACGTCTGCAGTTGGCATCATTTAAACGTCCAATGCAGTCCTGAAAGCTGACAACATAAGTTATTATCTCTTGCTATTCTCTTGAACAAAAGAGCAGTGGCACCAGATGCGGAAAATGGAGACATTTTGAGTTTCGTTTCAAAGATCAGGATGCAGAATCAATAGAGCAGCGGTTCTCAACCTATGGTTCGCGACCCCATTTGGGGTCGAAGGACCATTTTTCGGGGGTCGCCAAACGTGATCCGCCATTTTCCCCCCTCAGGGGGTGGCACCGCGCATGCGTGCAGCGCATGGGGGCGCCCCCACGCATGCGCACGGTGCATGGGGGCACCCCACGCATGCGTGCGGTGCATAGGGGCGGCCCACGCATGCGCGCGGCACATGGGGGCGGCCCACGCATGCGCGCGGCACATGGGGCGGCCCCACGCATGCGCACGGCGCATGGGGCAGCTCCACGCATGCGCATGGCGCATGGGGTGGCCCCCACACATGCGCGCCGCGCTGCGCATGCACGGCACGTCCGTGTGACAGGGGTCGCCGTCACACAAAGGTTGAGAACCGCTGCAATAGAGTGACACTATTTATTGTCAAATGACAATATTTATTATCATTTGACTATTATTTCTCTAGCCTGAGTTAGTTGGCTGTCAACCAGCTGTCTTATTTAGGATAAAGAATGCCCTACCAGGAAAACAGCTGAGACATTTCTGCCCAAACATTTATTTATTTATTTATTTATTTATTTATGAGACTTATATACCGCTTTAAGTGCAAGCACTCTCTAAATGGTGTACACCAGTAAGCAATGTATATATATATTTACATTGCCCCCAACAATCTGGGTCCTCATTTTACCTACCCCGGAAGGATGGAAGGCTGAGTCAACCTTGAGCCGGTGAGATTTGAACCGCTGACCTGCTGAACACAGTCAGCTAAAGTGGCCTGCAGTACTGTACTCTAACTGCTGCGCCACCTCGGCTCTTTATTTGCCAATAAAGTCATCCATTGTCAGACCTTCCAAGCAAGCTAGGTCAGGAAGGGACCACAAAAAATATCAGAAAGCCTGACAGCTTCCTTCCTTCCCTCTTATACCAAAGAGAATCAAGGTAGGGCAATCTTGAGTTTCCTTCTCACTTTTTCTTGTTTGTTTCTTGTTTGTCCAGAAGATAGGCTCAAGATCTTGACAGACTTGAACACTGGGCCCTATCTAACAAAATGAAATTCAATGGTGAGAAAAAGAAGATTCTACATTTAGGCAAGAGAAACCAAATGCACAGGTGTAGAATAGGTGGTATCTGGCTCAATAGTAACAACTGCAAGAAGGATCTTGGAATCCCAGTGGACAATCACTTATATATATGAGCCAACAGTGCGATGCAGCTGCCAAAAAGGCCAACCCAGTTCTAGGCTGCAATAACAGAGAGGCAGAATCACGATCATGTGAAGTGTTAGTACTACTTTATAATGACTTGGTAAGATCACACTTGGAATACTGCATCCAGTTCTGGTCACCACGATATAAGAAAGATGCTGAGACTCTAGAAAGAGTGCAGAGAAGAGCAACAAAGATGATTAGGGGACTGGAGGCTAAAACATATAAAGAACAGTTGCAGGACTTGAGTATGTCTAGTTCAGAGATGGCGAACCTTTTAGAGACCGAGTGCCCAAAAACTGGACCCGCCCCTACTCCATCCCCCTGCCCCACCCCCGCTCTGCCCCTATCCCCTGCCTCGCCAGCCCACAGGACCACTCACCACCTCCAGGGCCCACTGCAGATCGCCCAGGCAGCCCAGCGGCCACACCCTCTGCCCGCGCCCTGCAGCATCAACTGCATGATGGGGTGAGAGGGCAGAGTCTTGTCTACGTTGCCTGGCTACCATGTCCTTGGCTGCGCTGCTCCGTGTGGGCCACGCTCAGAGGTGACTCTTCTTCAGGGGGGCTTCTGGAGAGGAGGGGGTCGCAGGGGGAGGCAAGGCTGGCACAACGGCACGTGTGCCCACAAAGAGGGCTCCGAGTGCTGCCTCTGGCACCCGTGCCATAGGTTCGCCACCACTTGTCTAGTTTAATGAAAAGAAGGACTAGAGATGACATGGTAGCAGTGTTCCAATATCTCAGGGGCTGCCACAAAGAAGAGGGAGTCAAGCTATTCTCCAAAGCATCTGAAGGCAGGACAAGAAGTAACGGGTGGAAACTAACCAAAGAGAGAAGCAACCTAGAACTAAGGAGAAATTTCTTGACAGTCAGAACAATTAATCAGTGAAACGACTTGCCTCCAGAAGTTGTGGGTGCTCCATCATTAGTGGTTTTTAAGAAGAGATTCGATAACCGCTTCTCTGAAACAGTATAGGGTCTCCTGCTTGAGGAGGTGGTTGAACTAGAAGACCTCCAAGGTCCCTTCCAATTCTGTTGTTCTGTTTTTATCTCAACTGCGGATTTTAGGCATATTTTTATCTTTACTGTTTTATATTCTTTCAATCGTGTTTTTGAGAACCAGTTTAGTGTAGTGCTAAAGGCAGCAACTGGGAGAACATGAGTACTAGTCCCTCCTTGGGCATGAGGTCTGCTGCGTGACTTTGGGCCAGTCACATTCTCTCAGCCCCAGGAAAGAAACAATGACAAACTACTTCTGAAAAACTTTGCAAAGAAACCTGTCTGGGCAGTCTCTGAGAATCAAACACGGCTGAATGGAACACCGTAAAAAGCCCAGAGTTATGAATTTGAGATGGGCAGTCATGTAAATTGAGATAATAAACAGGTTGCCTGAAATTGTCTTTCAGGAATCTTTTTCAGGGTATCAAGAGTAGAAAGAAAAGATGCAAGGAGTGTATTCCTTATATCAACATACTTTTCTCCTGGCTTGAGGACAACAGGGAAGCAGATTAATGTGTCCACAAGGAAGAATCCATCAGTAGAAATTGTTCTGTTCAGGTTTTGGTGTGCTGATTTACTGCAAAGCACTTCCTGCCTACCCATGGCACATAAAAGCCATTATTTTCTCAACGTTGTCTGTTAAGTGGCCCACATTTCCGGACTGT